TTGGCCCCTTCTGACGCGCAGATTGGGAGCAAACAGGGAAACAGCGGCGGGCGGAGCGAGGCGGCCCCGCCGCGCTGATAAGGCGGCGGCGCGGTGCGGGGCGCGGTGCGGGGCGCGGTGCGGGGCACGGGGAGCTGCGGGACACGGTGCGGGACACGGTGCGGGACACGGAGCCCCCGCCCCTGCGGAGCCGGGCGCGCCGGCGGTGGCCACTCCGCGCGGGCGGCTCTGCACCCGCGGACGAAGTTGCCCGTATTTCATGGAATTCCAGAACGCTTTGGATCAGAAGGGACCTTAAAGATCATCCGGATGCAACCCTATTAACGTGCTAAAAAAAAATTAAATTAAAATCAAATCGAATAATAATTTAAGAAAAAAAATTAAGAAATTAAGTCAAAAAACAGAACCAAAACAAAAAGACCCCGCTTTTTCTTTCCCCCCAGCGTGAACAAGGGGTTCTCTCCTTTCCCAAATCTTTCTCCGGCTCCCTGGGCCGGGAGGAGCCCCTGGGAACCCGGACCTCCAAACTCCCGTTTTCCCCCCATTTTACTGCGGCGAATCCCTTCGCTTCCGATCCCCTAAAACCTCCCGGCGGCCGCGGCGCCTTTTCCCCGTCGCTCCGCGGCCACGCGCGGATCGAAAGCAGCGAAACAAGCCGCGATTTTCCGCCGCTGTCCCGGGCCGGAGCTGCGGTCGGTGCCCGGGGCCGGGGTCTCTGCCCGGGGCCGGGGTCTGTGCCCGGAGCCTCGGCCGCAGCCGCCCCCGTGCCCGGTGGCCGCCGGAGGAGCCGCCGTTGGGCCAAAGTCGTTTGAAAGAGGCTGAAATTAAAACAAAACTAGTGAAAAAAAATGTATATATATATTTGCGTATATTTAAATATGTTTTTTTTCCCCTGAGGTTTTATTCAGCGCGATCTTGTCCCTCATTCTGGCAATTCTGTGTATGAATTCACAGTATTAATTAGCGACATAATTACTGGTGTTGTCAAAGCTCTCGGGCATTTGCCTTGGCCCAGCCCCGAGATCGTGTTCGCAGTTTCAGGGTGGTTTTGAGTTTGTTTTGTTTTTTTTTTAATAAAAAAACCAGTACGACGGTTCGTACTGCGGCGGCGATTTGCTCGGGGAAGAAATTCCTTGGACGAGAGGAAAAAGGAAAAGAAAAAGAAAGAAAGAAAGGAAAGAAAGAAATAAAAAAAAAAAAAGAAAGAAAGAAAGAAAGAAAAAGAAAATGGAAAGAAAGGAAAGGAAAGGAAAGGAAAGGAAAGG